CACGCGTCGTAAATGTCGATAGAGATTACGTCGGTATAGTATCTTCAATACGTTGAACACCGTTCAGTGTCATCGGGTTGTCCTCATTGTTTTGATCTCGCCGCCTTTCATCCACATTTGATTTATAGGCATTCGCGAGATATGGGTCTCACATGAACATAAATGTCGACTTTGATTGTTGCGTAGGCCAACGAGTACAAACCGAGACGTTACCAAGGTTTAACTAGGTAATTTCTTTGGTGATTAGAAGGACAAGTTATTGTAGTAGTCATCGACGGCAATTAGTGCACATCGCGACCAGATCAAAGCTCGTACTCGTGATTTACACTAGAAGAGCGCATTCTATTGTGGGGAAAAGCAATGTTTTTCAACACTGATGTTGCACATGCGCGACACAACGACCGCCGCCCCATTAAAGGTTGATGAGTTGTTTTATCTACGACATCTCAATGAAAACGGAAGTCTGGTGACAAATGTTACAGAGTCGAAACAAAGAAGGTCGTTTAGTGCGCAAGACATGCTTTGAACGTTTGTCGTCTACCAATGTCGCGCTCATAAAACAAAGTTTACAGATACGTTTCTTTTCCACCAAAAAAACAAACAAAAACAAACACACAAAACAGTACATTGTCAGTGGACAGTGAAAATAAGAGCATGAGTCAATAATAATTCGGCAAAACCACCATCATTGTAACCAGAAAATAATCCTTTGTTCAAACAGATGTTCAATGGCGTCATGATAATTATCCGTAAACATTACCGTACTTGACGCATTTCGATCACAGAGAACTCCGATTAAATCTAATGACGTGTTCTACAAGGTATACGTATTGACATTATAGTGGTTGAACTTCTTTCCCACGCTAGTTGGTCATTGGTCGAGAAAACGTTGGTCCCCGCGGGCGGCGATTTGAATTTTAAACTATTCGGAGTTCATTTGCCATGGAAGATTGTAATTTTTTTCTAATCAACTGTAATTCCATAAGCAACTACCCTCCTATACAAAGTCAATCGCGTGAATATTTGCCTGAAAATAAAAACATGTAACAAAATGCCCATATACGTTGAGTACGGACCGAGCCCTTGTGGTTCATATATATTAAACTTGGAACATAAAAAAATCTTTTCGTTGAATTAATACTTTAAATACGCGTCACATAGTTAAATGGCACATAACGTATTAGACTATTCATTGTTTTTGGCGTCAATTCACAAATTCGACTCTTATATAATTTGTACGCCAGGACGTACTGCGAAATAGTCATGGACGCAGATGTAATGCAGGTGTAATAAACCAAAAAACGAGAAATCATTGAATTTAAACGCATGTCACTATTCAGCTGATATTACACACGAATAGTCGTCTCACAAATCGTGATCTGCGTGGAACTAGGGCAAGGAATTTCTGAAATGTAGAGCTGTCTCTCAACCATTTACAATCATGTACGTGATTATCTCGAGGTTAATAAACTAATGCCTTCCCAATGTAGCGAATTACATATTATTGTGAGAATAGAGTAAAGCACGTTACGTCCACCGTACCACACACGAAAAGGATAGGAGGCTGGGCACTTATGGTGTTAATAGTCTTCAAATATAGCAGAATTACTTCATATTTATTTAAAATGTTCCCTCTTCATCTGGGGTTTGTTTCAGAGTCAGTCGCTGATTGGCACGCATTTTACGGAACTCGTTTTAGTTATTTCTTTACTGAATAATACTAAATTATAGTTGGAAACGATAGACATAAATTGTGTAATCAGCAATCATTGTAAAACGCTAGTTAATTGATTTTATTGCGTTCTGATTTAAACTAGTTAAAACCACAGGAAGTTGGATAAACTTATGTATTTTAATAAATTATTGAATAATAAATTGTTATATAACTTTTATTTTACCCCTCCTGGTCTTTTACCCCCCCCCCTTGTTTATACCACTCTTTCCTGTATCACAACTTAGTTACGCGCTAATGTTATATGCAAATTTTAACGCCCAATGTAGACACGCCCTATATTATAGTAAAATATCCCAAGGGTTGAAACGCGCCAGGACTGTGGCATGATCACAACCGTAAAGCCGGTGGGCATTTAATTTATTCATGAGATGCATTAATAAACAGGAAATGCTACGCGCGATTTTTTTTAAAATCCGGCGAGTGTAATCTCCGACGCGACGCAACTTCAATGAATCAGTGACTCTTCTGTAAAATGGTTTCTACTTCAAATGTCGTTCGCGTTGCTCTTCGAGATCTTTCTAATGAAAATAATCAACATATCAGCAACACAATTCATGGAAAAATTGTTTAATTCTGATCATGTGACAACAATATATGAGTCATTCTTTGCGATAGAGGTCAAAGATCGCAACATCCGGTTTCCGGCTTTACGGTTGTGCTCCTGCCATGTCGCTCGATTGCAATGAGTTTTAATTTGACAAATATTCAAGTGCAAATGCAATTGTGTCACTTTCTAATGCCATCCCATGTCATTACAGATGCCTTATATG